TTTTTTTTCTGTTTCCTTTTTTTTTATTCTATTTCTTTTCAGTTTTCTTTTATTTTAGTTTTATAAAATTTAAAAGCGACAACTAATTTGGTGTTATTTAATAGGTCACAGCCCCAAATATTCTGGCACCTTAAATAAAGTGTCTTGCATGTGCTTATTATTTTAAAATCATTTTAGATAATTGCTTTATCGTTGTTTTAGTTTATTTAGTGCATCTAATCATATTATAAAAATGTGGTTTCACCACCATAATTACTTAGGATTTATTGGTCAACCTTAGAACATTTAATTTTTGACAATTGAAAACTTTTATTATTTGTTTGATTTTGAATTTGAATTCGAACGGGATTTGATGCATCTAGAGGTTAACAACAGTAATCGTGGTGACGTGGCATCGTTAATAGGGAATTACTGTAGTGTAACTATCCGGGCGTCACACGCCGTTACGACCATGCCATCACTCCTCGGCCTCACGGGCTACTACCGCAAGTTTATCGCGCATTACGACATCATTGCCAAGCCGCTGACTAACCTCCTGACCAAGAAAGGTTTCGATTGGACAGAGTGGGCGCAGGTGGCTTTTGACTTGCTCAAGTGCGCCATGGTGACCGCGCCCGTGCTAGCTCTCCCTGATTTTGCTCGCCCGTTCGCCATCGAGACGGATGCGTGCGACACTGGCGTGGGCGCGGTGCTGGCGCAAGAGGGCCACCCGGTGGCATTTCTCAGTAAGGCGTTGGGCGTGAGAAATCAAAAGTTATCCGCCTACGAGAAGGAGTTCATCGCCGTCATGATGGCTATGGATAAGTGGCGCGCATACCTTCAGCGGGGGCCGTTCACCATCATAACGGACCACAAGAGCTTGTGCAATCTGCAGGATCAGCAACTCGCCACCGACCTTCAGCGCAAAGCAATGGCCAAACTGGTCGGCCTTCAGTTCAAGTTCTGTTATCGCCGCGGCTGTGACAACGGCACGGCTGATGCTCTGTCTCGCGTGGGGGCAACTCTGAACCTGGACGCGCTCTCCATTTGCCAGCCGGCTTGGGTACAAGAGGTGGCCAACTCATACGCCACGGACGCCGACGCACAAGAGCGCTTGACGCGCCTGGCCATCCGCAGCCCCGACGACGAGGGATTCGAGCTCTACAAGGAGTTGATCCGCAAGCAGGAACGACTCTGGCTCAGCAAGAATACAACTCTCCGCACCAAAGTCATCAGTGCCTTGCATGACAGTGCGGTCGGTGGCCATTCCGGCGCGACGACCACTTATCAGCGCGTCAAGAAGCTGTTCGTCTAGGATGGGTTGAAGTCAGATGTCGCAGACTACGTTCGACAATGCCCGGTCTGCCAGCACGCCAAGCACGAGCAGTTCAAGCCCGCAGGCAAGCTGGTGCCCCTGCCCGTGCCCACCGCGCCATGGCGCGACCTCACAATGGACTTTGTGGAGGGTTTGCCGGCATCCGAAGGCTTTGATTCGATCATGGTGGTGGTGGACCGGCTCACCAAGTTCGCGCATTTCATCCCACTTCGGCATCCCTTCAAGGCACCACAAGTGGCTAAGGTCTTTTGGGATCATGTCGTCAAGCTTCACGGAATCCCAAACTCCATCGTCTTCGACCGCGACCGCGTCTTCACCAGCGCACTTTGGCGCGAACTCTTCGCCAGTGCGGGCACAAAATTGCTCTATTCCACGGCATACCACCCCCAGACGGACGGGCAAAGCGAGAGGATCAACCAGTCCATGGAGATGTACCTGCGGTGCGCGGTGCACGACGCGCCACGCCAATGGCGCCGTTGGCTACCGACCGCCGAATTTTGGTACAATTCTTCCTTTCATTCCTCCATCAAGTGTTCTCCCTTCAAGGCGCTTTACGGAGTGGAGCCAAACCTGGGCGCGCTGGCGCTCTGGGACGACAAGACGACGCCGATCATCGACGGTGAACCCTGGGACTGGGGCGTCCACACGGCACGGCTGCGCGAGCAGATTCTTCGGCGCAGCACCGCTTCAAGAAGCAGGCCGACCAACACCGCACCGAGCGCTCTTTTGAAGTGGGCGACTCCGTGCTCCTGAAGTTGCAGCCCTATGCCCAGTCTTCGGTGGCCAACAGACCGTGCGCCAAGTTGGCATACAAATACTTCGGCCCGTTCACGGTGCTCGCCAAGATCGGCAACCTCGCTTACAAGCTGGAGCTTCCAACGGACAACAAGATCCACCCCGTCTTCCATGTGTCGTAGCTCAAGCCCTTCACCCCCAAGTATATTCCAGTCTTCGCCGACCCGCCGCGGCCCCCGGACCTCGCCGGTACTGCCGATGAGCCAATGGAGATCGTGGAACGCCGCATGGTCAAGCACGGCAACAACGCTCTGGTGCAGGTCAGAATTCATTGGAAGAACGACGCCACGACCACGATTTGGGAAGACTACGACACTCTTCGCCATCGCTTTCCGCAAGCTTCAGTGTGGGATGCACCGGCAGCCGGCGACAACGATCACCAACAAACTACTGAAGACGGCGCCAGTTTTCAAGGGATGGGGAATGTCACACCTGCATCACCAGTGGTGGATGCAGTGGACGAGTGAGTTGGGGCCCCGTGGCCAGTTGGCACGGGCCCACTTGTAAGGGTGGCACTCGGTGCGTGTGGTGTGGGTTATAAGCCAGTGAGGGCTATCTGTGGAGG